TTGTGCAGAAATACCAGCTGACTACACAACACATTGGCACATTCAAATTAGTATTCAATTTTATCTCAATGCAATTATCAATTCACAGTAGTGAGATTCCATATGGTCGTTGGCATGGTTATCATATTTTGCAACATATCCAATAGAAATTGGATGTGGGTCTCTGCTACTGACAAAAGAAAATATGTACTGATGTAAGCTCAATCAATTCAAAATTGATTTGATTTTCCCTCTCTCTACAATAAACACAAGCACACAGTCACAGAATGATATACTTTACAGGTATTTAAATATGTCCATACACACAATCATTGAAGCCTTATAGAATTTATTTGTCAATATACAGATTCACCTTACAATAGTTTAGCAGAACAATGAAGACTCCACAAGTTGAAATTCAGACAAATAAGAAGTAATCAAATTTAGTTTAAAATCAGTGTTTTATCATAATTCTGCAGTTAATTTTCATATGTATCCTGTTATCCGTAATACAGAAATTTGTATTTAATCTTTTTTATGGGCAGAAGCTCCCCAGTTTTCACTTTTCAGTCTTGATAGAGTCCAAAAGCATGTCTGCATCCTTGTGGGTGATGAATTATTTTCTACCCTATAATCCCTTTCCCACAGACAATAATAGCATGCTTCTCACTGGTCTATCGACATTTCCATTCCTTATTTCCACCCGTTCAGATTGACACACATTGTAGCAAACTATTCTCATTCCCTTCATATTCCTTTGATGAGATGTAAGTTCCACTTGAGCAGCTTCTTCCACAAACCACTGCTTTGTGGAACAGACTCCCAAAAAGGATGCTTTTCTGATCACTACAATCTTGGCCTGTTCAAGTCTAGGGTCAACTGCTACCTCCCACTCATATCCCTACAATCTGTGCCTCTTACTTTGTAACTCACTACCTCAAGTGGCTATTGAACAGGGTAAACATCATTGTAAAACAATGAAAAAAAAAAAATGAAACAAAGTCTCAAAAAAATAAACAAATAAAAAGTAGTTCCCATAAAATCAGCACAATAAAGAAAAGAATGATATGCCTAAAATTATTACAATGTTCATAAAATAATTATACAGGGTGTTTCAAAAAAATTGATATCATTTCGCAATCTAATAACTTTGTTAGATTTCCTTCAAATGACTTCAAATTTTAATAGCATCTTTATGTTTAATGTTTGTTTTATGTTTTTATGTCTTTATGTTTTTGTTTTTTCTTATTTGTATTTTTATGTTCTTTAATCTTTAATCTTTTTCTTTACAGGTATAAAAAATGCTATTTACTAGAAGAGAAAAGGCGTTTTGTGTGTTCACATAATCCACATGCTTTTGAATTTCTCATTCAGATTTAGAAGAATAAATCTTATGATCTTCAACATTAATACTTTTTAATTTCATTTGCCTTAATCATGTACTTTCTGTGATATTTACATCTCAAAGGATATCAAATTTTTTGAAACACCCTGTATTTTAACAAAATGGATATCAAAACAAATCTTTCTTAAATTTTTTAAAATATTTAGCAAAAATGTAATCATTTTCAACTACAGCAGCTCAAATTTCCAAATGCCACATTTAAAAGAAATTTGGGTTTTTTTCTGATAAAATCTATGAAAGCCAGTTTTCAACTTTGTTTCTGAATCACTTATAAAATATTCTAGTGATTAAAACAAATGAAAATCTGTCATTGCTAAATCTTAAGCATGACAGATGTGGAAGAACCTCCCATATTATTGATTTTATTTTTTCTTGGGTTTGTTTTGCAGCACATGTCCTTGCATTGTCATACTTGATAACACTTTCTCTATTTACCAAAGCACAACACATTCAACTTAATTCCATTTTTTGATCAATTACTAACAATAAACCTCTGCAGGGATGGTCCAACCATATTCTATGAGAACTCATAATTAACAACACTTTTCATATTTCTAACACAATGCAAACCCTGGATGGATCCCTTATTATTTTGGTGTTGGCAGTGATTTCTCATTTTGTCATAATCACTATCTTTTATTTTCTGTCGACATGCAAAAACTACTTTTTTCATCATCTCTATATATGCAATGCAAAAATGAAAGGTTGGCATTCCTGGTTAAAAGACTGATGCAGGCGTTTGCAAGGTTTTGTTCTCAAGCAGCATGTTTACCTAATTAATCTCTGAAATGCACTTTAAACTACTATTGGATTTAAGAGCACATAGAATTTGTAGGCCTCAATATTTACATGAAGAGAAATACATCGAAAATAGTTTTAAGCTCTTCCAATAGATGAAGCTTTAATAAAAGTGAGACATGTTAGAGATTGATAAATGATAATTATAGAAAAGCTGAAAGAAAGCCTTTTATGTTACTGCTTGTGTAACTTTTAAACTGTTTGCTTAGATATTTACTACATTTAACAGAGTTAATAGAGTTACTGCATTTTGCTGCTTATAAGACGCATGTATTTTTTCTATGAAATATCTTCAAAAATCCACCCTGCATCATATAAACAGAAGGTTGGTAATAAGAATTATAAGTTTGGGTGTCAAGTGAGCATCAGTTCCCCAGTTACATCCAATTCTGAGCCCTTGAAAGTAAAACAAGTCTAATGTTTCAAAATTAAATTAATTTTTTGATAGTAGCTATTTATGCAGTTAGGATAAACTTGTCACAGCAATGAGGATTTCTTGGTATAACAGTTCAGCAGTATTGTATGTTTTCACCTACACATAAATCAAATTTAACCTTATTTCTGTATCCATATTTATATGTCCCTAATTTAAAATTACTGCACCATCCTGGTTGTGAGTAATTCATCACAACTGGTGAGGATTTCAAGCTGCAACAAGGTTACATTTCAGTAATATCATGCACTAACTTCTCTTCTAATTATTGCATTATAAATAGTTACCATAAATTTGGTATTTGTCAGTCTGTAATGAATTTGTCATGATTAGTCAGGTTTTCATGCTTCAGGGTAAAATTGGGGATAGTGGGGAGGGCTAAGTACAAGGGAAAAACTTTTTCCAATTTATTCCTTCAAAACGTTTTGGAGAGTCTTATAATCAGCAAGATACAATATATGTAGCAAAATGGATTACCCTTAAAAGTCCAATGCTATAAAATTTTGAAATGACTTCAATAGCCTAAAATTTAAGCTTCAAATTGAAAGCATCAGAATCAAGCAAGTACAAAAATTTATCTGAGTAGTGTCATAACAAATTACAGAAAATATGAGACAGAGACCTGATGGTGCATTACAATAGTGAAGGGTGCCTTCCAAAGGCTAAACATGGTATTAAGAGGTAGAAACAAAGAAAAGAGCACTGAACTGCTATGTAATATGAATTCTCTTATAAAGAAATGTATGCTGGCCAACTTCATCACAGATGAAAAATTGGATGCAACAGGAATATGATTGGAAGCAAAGGATGCTAAGAGTATCATGAACAGAACATATGAGAAACAAGGAAGTTTTAAGGAAAATATGAAAAGTTGTTTGGTTGATATTGTTTAGTAGCATATCAACCTCCATGGGTTATTTAATGCCAAAATGTAAATATTTTGAATGCAGTTGTATGCCTTCAACTACAGATAAAATGTATTGTTAGTAATTTTACTATAAATATGTATTGTTGGTAATTTTTGTTATATTAAAATGTATTTCATACTTTCATTTTTGTTTGGGGGTTCACTATTTGCCCATAGATGGGACCCTAACAGGTGCTACCACTCTGAATCAGGGTAGGCTTGGGATCAACAGCAATTAAAAAGGTGGTTCCACACTCCTCAAATCTTCAGTCTCCAAATAAGAGGTCTTTCTGCTAGATGTAGTTTATCATCATACCCAGGATTAGGGAAAGAAAATGACACAATCAGAAAAAAGATCCCATGTCCTGAAGGAACACTGTACAGAAACAAAGTCAAAGTTAGTCCAGCACATTTCAAAATAACCCAAAAATGTCCTTGGGGACTACTTCTCAAATTTATTAGCAGCGGACTTTCACGAATAACCTAATCTGGTGCAAAATCCCAATCACCTAGTGAAGACCAAACTTGCTATCACTGGATAACAAGTATACATTGGCTCATTCAGATTCATTTCTAAATCTAATTCTGAAATGTCAAACTGAACAGAAGGGGTATGTGCTACTCCTCATATACACAGCACATCTAGTGCTGCTTTTTCATATACAAGAGAAGCCCACACAGAATAAGGTTCAACATTACAAGATACAAGAAACCCAAGGCTGATTGAAGTCAAAATTACGATCATGATGTTGTAGTAATAGTAGTAATAATTATAATAATAATAATAATAATAATAATAATAATGTGGAGGAATGTATGTCTCTTCTTTGGGTGGGGAAATTAACCTGTTAACCATCACTCAATAACAAGTGCACAAATTATCCGTTACAACACTCATACATGGTCAAAATTTACAAAGTGGCAAACAGTAAGGATTGAACTCACTGGCAATAAATTTTATAAATATCAGGTACTTTACTGCTTCAGCAAAGAAGCCATTTCTTGAAATTTTTTTGCTGATAATCAGCATGACTTCCTTTTTACATAAAAGGTCAATATTGCAAAGTTTTTAACAGGCTGAAAAGCATCAAGCTGCTGCAGTAATTTTGCTACAGACTACAACTAATTAAAAAAGGAAATTTGTAATTTAAAATTAGCACTTTGGAGTTAAAAAAATTTCAAATCAAATATTGGATATTACAATTAATTAAGAATATATACCTTAAAATTTGTATATGTAGATCCATATATGAATATACCCAGGGAGAAAAGAGTTTTGAACACTAATGTTGATTAGTTGATCTACTTTCTACAGCTTATCAATCCTTTGCAGATTATTTAAAGCCAGAAAATACTTTTAAATTCTAAGAATTTTTTTTTGAGATAATGATTTAGTGATACAAGTCTTAGTCATTAACCACTAGCTGGAAGGAGAACAATTCTGAGCCATTATCTATTACACCACCTATACATCCAAGCTTACAGCACATGGTATTCCCAAGTCATTACCCATCAAGGTACTAACCAATTTCAACATTGCTTAACTTCGATGATCATAAGGGAACTGGTGTTTCAATGTGATATGGCTGTAAGCCTTGAAATCTACTGACATCGTACTTTGCTGGACCCTATGAAACAGGGGTTGAAAAGAAATGTTTAGAAGATTAAAAATTCCAAAAAATTGAATACTTACATTATAGAAAAAAGTACTTTTCTGAAAGAAATTAGACATTTATATCACCAATTAGCATTTTCAAATGCTTTCTCCAATTTGTTTTTTTTGAAAGAAATACATCACTGTTTCTGGCTGGCCTCACATTATTCTGCTACTAATTCCTAAAGCTGGATTAAAGTAGATGTATTTTCAAGGGTAGCTTCTGTTTGAAAGCACAACCAACAAAAATATGTGCCAATTTTTATCAAACACTGATTATGGTTTTCTAAATTCTCGAAATGCTTGTTGGAGATTAAATATTAGAATGAACTTCATTGTATAATTGAAAAATGTTCAAATGATTTTAGTTTTTCTGTTCATTTCGCATGCCGATAATAAAACACTGGAAAACTGAGATAAGGATAATCAAAGAAATATTATAGAAATATGCTAAATTTCTTATATCCTGAAAGAGAATAGACAAAAAACCCAATTCCTACAGAACCATTATCCAAACGTCATTAAATGAGAACAAAAACAAGCTAAAGCAAAAAATACATTTTCAGAATATAAGGTTTGGGAAAAACATTAAAACACCCACCCAACCCTGCTTCCATTTGATAATCTTGATACAAAAGTAGCGAATGGTAACCAACTCTAGTGACTACTGTCATTCAGCTTCCAACACTGAATCAATAGGCAATTTGTTATTAAAATAAGATGCAAAACCTACATCTCACCTCACAAGATTGAAGGCCTACTAACTAAAACTAGACTGCAAGCCAATCAATTCTCATCTGAACACAGATAAGTGTAGTTTCTGCTACATTACCATAGAAATGTGCAATTTTTTGTAAGTATAAAAAAAAGAGATATGAAAGTTTAACTCATTTTACAGGTGAACACTAATTAGTTAAATTAATAGCATTAGATACACTTACATCCACATCACTACATGCAAATCTTCCAATGTAAACAAGAAATATAAGTGTTTTCATAAATATTCCCAGACAATAAAACAGCTTATGACATCAAATTCAGTAATCTATAAGAAAATTCATTTTTTTTCAATATTTTCCAGGGAAATGCATTTTTAATATTTACATGGAGATATATATATATATATATATACACACACACACACACACACACAGGTACCTCCACAAGATGCCAAAAAATGAGCATAGCATGATGAAAAAGATTCAAACTTGACAAAAATAAAATTTTATAGTCAAAATGTTTGTTATTAATAGGAAAGAACAACGTATTTTTAATTATTTTTGAAATTTTTTCCTTCTTTTCAGAACATTCTAACTTTTGACTAAAAAACTTTGTTTCTCTTTATATTGGTGGAACTACTAAATAAAATTTTAGCGCATATTTTTGGATGACAGACATCAATTTGGAAAATCTTGCAAAAAATAAAAATAATTATCGGATCTTAATGAAACCTTCAGAAACAAATCACAAATGATGGAAATTATTATAAATAAGTTTGTTTTTTTTAAAGTCATGGCAAATATATATTTTTTTATATTTATTACCCCCCTACCATAACTAATTTTATGAAAACTCTAGAAATTCAATGTTGCTCAATTTAGTGATTATATTAGTTAAAAGCACATGGCTTTGAGGAAAGCAAATGTTTGTTTTTTTTTTGTAATCGGACCTCCTCTACCTGAAAATAAGCTCTGAATTGTAACATACAAAATAAAACAAAGATATTATTTAGTTTCAAATGCTACTTTTAGTTGTTTTTATGAATAAGGATATTGTCTGAAAGCAAAAAACTTTTTTGATGAACAATGAATTTTTAAAACAATTATTTATTTCTTAAATTATTTTTACATTAAAGTTGTTAAATATTATAAAATTAGTGAAAATGGTACTCAGCTTAGTCAATGGTGTTATTAAGTAGATGTATCTTAATTATAAGTTGTATAGCTTCTAAAAATCAGAAGACTCCTCACTGTATAAAAAAAACTAATTTAAATGGCTTTTGTGTCCATAAAACAGCTGTAATTCAAATATACAATATGTATGCAAGCATACAATAACAAGCCATGTTATTTGAGTTAAGCGTTGTTCCCCGCTGTTACAGCCTTTATTTTTGCAAATAGTTTGTTGTGAAATGTGTGAAGTATTAGTACCATCTTATGAAATTTATATGATCTTATTTTTATATTATCAATTATGACATTTTCCCATAAATGAAAAATCAAAATTAATAATGAATGGAAATACAAATAACACAGTAAAATGTAATAAATGTACATAAAATTATGGTATTTTATGTACACTTCTGATAAAATTTCACAAGAAAGGTACCTATAAATTATTAGATACCTTTCTTATGAAATTTGATCTCACTCTCAACAGTCTTATTTTAATTTGATTTATAACATATTTTCTATATCATAAACATAAAGGTGAAAGTACAAAAAGAAAATGAAAAAAATTAGAGCGCTGAAAGTTTTCCTTAAAAATAAGGAAATAAATAAGTTGGTTCACTTAAAACTAAATAATCATGTCACTTCTGTCCTTCCGTATGGTAACTTTCTGTTACGTAAACTAGTAAGCTGTCAATACATAATGAATTCATAATTCATCACTTGTCAATTGATACCAAATGTTAAGACATGCTTTGTCCTATTTTTAAACTACATTTTTATGGTGTGGAAAGTAAGTAATTTTTGTTCCAAAAAATTTTAAATAAACTTTATAATTTCTAATTTTCATGAATAAATTTTGAAAAAATTATAAATCATTTTTAAAAGAATTTTAAATGGAGAATTTCATTTTATTTAAAAAAATGGTTGACATGTTCAATTTTCTATCAATTTTGCTGACTCAAAACAAAAAAAGACATTTAAGAAAGATTTTTGATGTGCCAGGAACAATTAAAAAAATGTAAAAAGATACCCAAAACAAGCTTTGATCATACCTCTTAATAATAACATTTAGACAATAAAAAATTATTTTCATCAAGCTTATATATATATATTAGTTGTAAGGTGTGCTATATTTACAGGATAAAGTGCTAAATATCAGAGATAGAGCATATGTAAATATAAATATAAAAGTAAACATTAAAGTCAACACTCAGAGGCGACAGGCTGTTTTATGCTAGACACAACTGTCAGGCTGTAAGTGTTGATTTTTCCTTGACTATTTATATATATAGGTCAGTGGTGCATTGTGGGTAATCCATTCTGGCAGTTATTTTGGCCAGAAAAACTATCAACAAACCACCGGAACAAATTAAACCCATGTGTAACTGTAGAATAAAGAATGAATGTCACTTAAACGGTATCTGTCTACAAAACAATGTAATATACCAAGCCACAGTAAAATCACCAGATAATGAAAAAAAAGTATACATAGGAGTAACTGAAGGACCCTTAAAGCAAAGAAACTACGCATACAAAACATCTTTCACAAATAATAAATATGCAAACAGCACAATGCTTTCTAAGTATATCTGGCATATCTTAAAAACAAAACGCAAATCACACCAAAAATATCATGGAAAATAAGGAAAAGATCATCAGCCTACAACAATCAATCCAAAGCCTGCAAATTTTGCTTGGAGAAAAAAATAGCAATTATTACCTCCCCAGACCAAAATAAATTACTAAATAAACGATCTGAGATCATCTCAAAATGCAGCCACAAAAACAAATTTTTACTACATTATTTAAAAATCGAAAACTATAAAATAAAATAAAGAAAAAATAAAGAAAATAATATAAAAAACAAATAAAATAAATTAACCCAAGCAAATAATAAACAAATTAAGAAAACACTCCTGTTAGAATAAACGAAACAGAACAAATGAAAATAAAAAATAAATTCATAAAATACATGTAAAAATAATGAATTCAAATAAATAAACAAATTAACAAACAAATCCCGCCAAAATAACCGTTAGAATAGACTTCAACAATCAATCCAAAAATTGGATGAGAAAATAGCTATAACTGCTTTATAACAATAAAAAAAAAAAAATTACTAGGTTACTCAAAAATCAAAAACCGAATAGAGTATATAAAAATATACAAAATGAAAAATAAATAAAAAATAAAAATAAAAAATAAGCAAATAAATAAGAAAAAAAGAAGTAAAAAGTAATCCAAAATAAATAAATGAACAAATTACAAATCACTCCTGCTAAAATAACCATTAGGACTAATAAAAATAAATATAAGTATAATAAGCAACTTAAGCAAAGCCCACCAAAAATTTTTACCACGTTAATAAAACATAGAAAACCAAAATGAATAAATAATTATATAAAATAAAACATGAAAATAAAAAACAAGTAAAATAAATTAAAACAAATAAATAAACAAGCCACTCATGCCAAAATAACTGCCAGAATGGATCACCCACAATGCACCACAGACCCATATATATATTAGTCAAGAAAAAATCCAACACTCACAGCCTGATGATTGCATCAAGCATAAAACAGCCTGTTGCCTCTGAGTGATGACTTCAATGTTCACTTTTATATTTAAATTTACATACGCTCTATCTCTGATATTGAGCACTTTATCCCGTAAATATAGCACAACGAAAAACTATATTTCTTCATATATATATATATATATATATAAAATTATAAATTAACTGATTTAAAAAAATATGGTTCCTTTGCTACACAGGAATTACCATGTTTCAAAAACCAAAGCTAAAAACTTCAAATTTAATTATATAATTAAATTAAAAGCATTAGTTCTGTTTCATCTTCAAGCGAATTTTGGAATAACTTATTTTTAAATTTACTTAGTTTTAAAAGCACATACATTCATAATTTTTTGTTTCCAAGGATACAGAGAAATCCAGTCATTTAGACAGGGGCGGTAGCATGTTCATTTTTATTAACTATCATTGTATCTTTTATGAGTTACGTTCGAAAAAGAGGTTAAGTCTAG